GTTATCGCAACAAGATTTGATTTATAAATGCGAAACACGAAGTGTTCCCGTTTTTTTGCATTTTATAGAGTAGTAATTATTAATCTATTTGTATCTTTAAGAATTTATAATGTAGTTTTTGTATTAAAAATTGATATTTCTGTAAAATAAATTTCGCCTCTAATTTTCTATTTTTTTTATCAACATTCAATAAAATCTCAAAATTGAAAAAATTGCACAAGTTTAAATTTAGATTCTCTTTTACTACTATTTTAATTTCTTTTTCATTTATATCTTTTTGTCCTCTATAAAACCTAAAATTAGCGGATATTTTCACTTTCGCCATTTACAGGTTTAGAAGAGGTTTTTAAATTTTTATAAAATTAACATTTTTTTAATTTGTATTCATCCTAATAATTTTACTAAAATGTCTCAAAAACAAATATTTATAGATTCAATAGATCAATAAAAAATAACTATCAAAAAGAAAAAATATTGAAAATTATATATAAAAAATAAAAAAATTGATCAAACATGTATCATTTTCTTAATTTTAATTTAATAAATCACTGGTTTTGTTACTTATGTAGAAAATATATGTGATGAATTATTAATAAAAATTGAAATCAATAAAACAAATTTTTTAAAAACACAATGCTCAAATTAAAACTATTTAAATTTAAAATGCTCTATTATCAAATTTAATAAAATCTATCGCTCTTAAATGAAAACACATTATTTGCGAGAGCAATTATGAAACACGTAACTCATAAAGGACCGAATCCATGTCAAATCATGCAGGCAGACCGATGATATATTGCGAATTGATTTCAGAATAAAGTATGTTATTCTACTTGAAAAGTAAAGAAATACGTGTTTTTTATATTTTGATTCGATTTTGTGTGTAGTTTTTACGACTTTTTAAAGATTTTTTCAAGAAAATTAATTTTTTTGCATTTTTCGCTAAAAAAAGCATAACTTTCGTAATTTTTAACCTTTTTTGTTGCTCCTGGGCTTATTTTTTTTACTCTTTAAAAAAAAATTGCTCCGAATAAAAAATATTAAAAAACAAGGATAAAAATGGAATTTTTCGAAAAAACAAAAAAAAATTTTTTCTCAAAAATAACACCTTTTTTTCGCTCCAAATTTTCAGGATTTATTGGTACACATATGTACTACATACCATAAAAATTTCACTTGGTATTTTTTTGTTTCTTAGGAGAAAAAAAATATTTTCATTTTTTTGATTAAAAACTCTAAAAATCAACATATTTAAAAGGTTTCTAACTGCTCCTTGATTCATTTTTTTACTTTTCAACATTATTTTCGAAAATTACGCAAAAAATAAAGAATAACATACTTTATTCTGAAATCAATTCGCAATATATCATCGGTCTGCATGCATGATTTGACATGGATTTGGTCAAAGACAAATAAAAAAACGTTATTCATCTGAAATTTTTTTTTATTCTAATTTTTCAAAAATTTAACATTTATTTTAAGCCAATATAAGATTAAAAAAAATTTATGCAATTAAAAATTAATTTAGCTATTAACAAACAATTTGATCGATTCATATTTTTGTAATTTGTTTCCTTTTTGAAAAAAAACAATACCTAAAATTATACCATTGCTTTCAAAAAACTGTCATTTCAGATAAGTATGTTTTTATTTGTTTTTGTGAGTTATGTCATTATCATAGTATAAATATAATAATAATATTTTGATTTCTGCATTTCTTAATACGATTTACATATATACAATTGAGTAATATATCTATAGACAACTAAGTAAAACATCCGCCCACGCGCACTTCATTTGTATTTCACGTGATGCAATTAATGGGTGATAAATGCTTGTGCGTTATTAGCACAACTTTTTTTCCGTGTAGAATTTATTAAAATAAAATACATAGCCTTACATAAGAAAATCAACACACCTACTCTCCCTCCACATAAATGTCCGTAAGGATTTTATACACTTCTTCCCCGTGTAGCCCTTACGTAATTTGTACACGGCCCCTAACCCCTTAACCACTTCACTGGCAAGACGTTCCAATTGGTGTTTCACGCTGCGTTCATATTTAGACTAAATTTTTTAAAAGTATACGTTAATTTAAATTCGTTTAATTAATTTTCAAATTAATATTTCTATCTTTTACACATCAGTGAACAAGAATATGACAATAAAAATTCGGTTTCTTGAGGTTATCAATGTTTTTTTGGACGTTGAAATTCGTAATTTTTAATACTTTTCAGCAAATGGCGTTCCAGTTTTACTCAATTTTTATTGAATAAAACTCAGATTTTTCATTGAAAAATGATATTAATATGCTTTCTAATTTGTAAAATTTAAGAATAATAATAATAAAATAATATTAATATAATATATTATATAATATTACGTCATATATTGATCAACGTGTGTAATATACTTATACTATGGTAACAACGAACATTTATTATATATTAGTATATATTTAATTATTAAATACTATTTTATTGTATAAATAATGAAAATATATAATATTACTATTAATTCAATAGGAAAAAAGTTAATTTTCTGGCATTGAAAGGATAAAATCCTTTAGTGTTTATTTTACTAGAATTTTAATTAATTTATTAAAGATAAACTCACAAATTTTGATTATTATAATATGAAGTCTATTTGCGGTGCTTTGGCTGTGAGTAATTCTCAGAATTCGTCGGTGTCTTCCGAGAAACTTCGAGGAAATTCGAGAATTGAAAAGGGGCTTGAGCCGCTGAATGAGTGTGATGAATGGCATTGGGGGTCGTCGGGGTGTGCGGAGATTTTCGGAGAATTTTGATAATAAAAGTGGGATTCCTGGTCTCCTCTGTCATATCGCTCGTAGGACTTGAAAAGGGCCTAATCACGCCACGCACAAGTGTATCGCCGATAGCACATTGGTAACTTATATTCTTGAAATTTAGATTATTGAATTGTAATGTGTTTAAAATTTATATTCAGAATTGTAGTGTTTTATTATTATTTAAAAGGTGTGGCGGTTTTTTATGCAATGGTGGGTGATCATATTTAAATTGGAGAAGAGGCGTGAGATAGAGAAGACCAGGAACCATCGATAGTACGCAAGGACACTTGGTCCAGGAATTATCTTTGGTCCGCAATTCCAAGCAGATTTCGAGGAAATTAATCTTTTGATATTTGGGAAGTTCCCGTTGCACACTGACGATCCTCATTTGCCGATTCGCTGGGTCTTGGCTACAGACGCCGTTATCTGATGTCGACATCCTTCTCACCAATACCATTGAGAGCGATAAGTTTTTAATTTGTTTATTGTTACTGTCTATTTGTTTTATTGAAATCCATTTCCTTCTATAATAGTTCGACATATTTTCGGAATTGCATAATTCCCTTTCATATTTTACATCTAGCAGTTGTTCTTTTATTTTGTGTGTGTGTTTTTGTGCATGAAAAAGTTACAAGAGACGTCTCTAAATTTCTAGTTTGAACAGAATTATCGATGACGTAAACAAAGTAATTTTATAATTATCTTCATTGACTTTAAATATATATTGATTGAATTATTATTTAATGTATTATTTCGCACCTTTAAAATATCTTAATTAATTTGTATATGCTTAACCTGGTATTCTTTGGAATTAAATTTATATTTCTATTCCGAATTAATTTCAATTTGAAGTCATTAACTGAATTTTCTATATAAATAAAAATATTGTTACAGCATTTTCTTTTTTTTCATTCACAAAATAGAATAAATCATAACAGGTAATTACACTAAACTTTTTCTAATTGTAAGTCACAGTGTACGATTTAAGCTTTAATTTAGGTTTATATAGAAGTCTCTATCACATTAGGGTAAGGAGAAAAAAATAATGAATACCCTCAAAAACACTGTTATTAGAGACTTTTCCCAAACTTTACATAAAATCCTGACCTGATACGCAATTTTGGAACCCGGGATTGTGTTCAGCACACAAAAATACATTGAAAACTACTTCGACATCTAAAAAAATGTCTTATTTTGTAGACCTGTGAAGGTATAAGGAAGGTATCATTAGGTATAATTAATTAATAATTTTTTGCAATATATTGTTTTAAACCCAACCGAACCGAAACTTGACCGAAATTAGTCAACTTATAGGTTTTCATAATTTTTCATGGTGAGTCCGGAAAAATCCGGAATTTAGATGGATTGAAAATTATCATCAAATCATCTTTGTTGTGGACTAGTATCAGATTTTTAATTAAGTTTTTAGAAATGACGAAATCCGGATTCTTTACACACAGATTGCCTACTAATTCGAACTTCTTTCTAATTAACATTTTTGTTTTTTGATCTAACTAAAATTGAATGTTGCGGACTAAATGCGGATTTATTTCATGTCAATTTTGGACTATTCCAGACTGATCTCGGTTTTATCATTTCATATAGATTGATTGCTGACTAATACATATATAATTTTCGGATTGTTTTTGTAAAATTTCCGGACTAATCTGTCTGTATTTTATCTAAAATCAGTCTGAAATTTTAACCAGAGAGTAAAAGTTTTAGTAGAAATTGTAAAAAATAGTGTACGTTAATTTAAATATTTGTTTAAAATAAAATTCAGATAATGTGGAGAACAACTTTGTGAAATTATTTTTGCATATAACTAAAAATATTATGTTTCTCATCGTAAAGAATAATATAAATATTGCTTATGTTTAATTTATGATAATTTATTTTATTAATTATTATGTTAAAAATAGAATTGTATTACAATTTTTTTAAACTATAATTGAGAAATTGTCATAATTTCAATTTATTTTAAACAATAAATAAAAAAAATAATTTTAATTAAATTGTAAATATGTAAAATAGAGAAATAAAAATTTTATTATTATGTCATTGAATTAACAATTTAAATAAATTAACAATGTAATACACTTTTCACGCTATAGTTGTAAAAATAATTATTTATAAAGAGTTCTCGACATTTTCAAATTTTAGGCTGTAATTTATAGAAATTGTTATTTACCATTTGTATGAGGGTCATGTAGCGTTTGAAAGGAATGATCATTTCCTTAATTGGACCTGTAAAATTGCTAAGAAAGTAGTAAAAGTACATTATCACATGAACAAAGCAATTTAAAATTGGACCCAGTATAACCACATCTACAGATAAATATCTTGGAAAGATTGAAGCAATTAAAAAGGTACTTAAATGATGGTATAAATGTAGAAATGTAACTTGATTATTTTTCTTACGTAATATATAAACTACTGTTTCAGTGAGGTCAATGAGTTTTAACAACATTCCGATATAACCACATTTTAATATCTGAAATAATAATAAAAGAATATTAAAATTATTAACATTATTTTATAATCCATTATCTCTGACGGATCCACATTGGGGCATTTTCCTAAAATGGTGGCCAAAATTAAAATTTCTCCATGGACTTAAAAAATTTTTTCATAGGATATTGGTTATATGACACTCCACGAGAGAAGGGACCTATCCCCGAAATAACATTAGGCTACGTTTTCCGTGCACCGTACATGAAAACTAAGCCTAATATTATTTCGGAGATAGGTCCCTTCTCTCGTGGAGCGTCACATATATGTATATATGTGTGTGTGTAAATGTAATAGAAACCTGCCTTAAATTTGAAGAAGCAATTGTTTCTTTTATATTACCCACATAGCACCATATTTTGCAGGAAGCTAACGGGAAACTAACCAAGTTAAGTTCGGAATTTAATACAGTTAGTTTTCTGTTAGCTTCCCTGTAGCTCTATATGTCCCCCGCTTTTGACTATTCCGTGTTAGCTTCTAGAAAATTATAGGAGTACGTTTTCTGAAAAAAGGGAGACAAAAGTTTGTGAAACATTAAATTGTTAGTTTAAAGGAACTTTATTACCAAGATTCTTAAAACTATCTGTGGTAAGTATTCTAAAGAATTACAGAAAAAGTTTCCTATATATAAAAAATGCAAGTTTCCAATAAATTTCATAAAAAAATCAGAAAAAATGCGAACGCAAAGCGCCTACATCTAGGGTTTCGTGGCTTTTAAAAATTAGATAAAAAGTTATTTGTATATGTATTTGTATATGACCACCGTGCTTTTACATTTCAGGGAACCACCCTTCCAGAGCGCATCGCCATCTTTAAATAAAGTAGTCCTGTTCGAACGTACGTACCCGACTCTCGCATTTGTCTAAAATGTCTGCGTTTTGGTCACATTGCAAAAAATTGTAGGTGAAAAACTAGATGTCATCAATGTGGCAGTACAAACGCACATGATGAATCCAATCCTTGCCCTCGCGCATCAGAACCTTCGAAATGCTTTAAACGGGTACGGTCCGCACAAAACAACATCCAGGCAGTGCCAAGAATATTCATTTCAAAAGGAGATTAGATATTACGCAACAACACATAAAATGTCATTTGAAGAAGCTAAACGAATTCTTCGTCCAAATAAAAATTTATCCAGTAAATTCAACTTCTGTGATTTCCCTAATTTAGGATATTCGCTAACACTCTCCACAATATCTTCTCAAAAAATTCGCTCTCTAATTTCTCCTACATGCAAAAAACATAAATCACCCACAAACATGAAAAACACATCATCATCTTTTTTTGAAATTAATTGGAACAACGGGAGACTCACAAAATCCATAAACTCTCCAACGAATTCGATGTCCTCCTCCTGTGCGAAACATACCTAAAGCCGGATAAACGCGATACTCTTAATACACTTAAATACTTTAATATTGTTAGTTTAGACAGATCCGTTAATAAGGGTGGTGGTCTTGTTATAGCCATCCGTAAAAATTTAGTCTTTACAAGAATTAATACAATTTTTTCCCAGGAGGATATGTTTGAAACACTAGCGGTGTCCATTGATTCTTCTTTGGGAAAACTTTTAATAATAATTTCAGCTAATAGAGTCCCGGGTAAACAAACACCTATTAACTATTGGAAACTTTTTTTAATTCCGTTAAAAATTCTGGCTTCAGCTCTGTTTTTATAAGGGGAGACTTCAATAGTCATAGTACTCTTTGGGGAAGCTCTTACACCTGCCCAAACGGATACAATCTTTGTGAACAATTAAATACTGCCGACCTTATACTTTTTAATAATGGTTAAATACTTTTTTTGTTCCCTGGCGGATTGGGAAAACCAAGTTGTAACTGAATCGGGTTACGATTCGGTTACGTTTCGGTTCATTGTGAAATATTATCGTTAATCGACGAAATATGTAGTAAATAACTATTAGGAATGGTTAGTATACATTTAGAGTGCTTATTTATGCAATAATAATAATAAATTAAGATATAATTAATTAATAATAAGTGTTTTAAGTGTACAGTGCATACAGTTGTTGAATTACCATATATATGTATTACCATCAGCTGCAGCTGTGATACGCGCGTTAAACCCTAGATTACATTAAGGATGACTTTGTGAATAAATTTCTAAAATTAAACCCTTGAGTGTCAAATTTTTAAGTGAATATATAAGTTTTAAAAAAATAGATCAATTTATTAAAACAACTTTTTTGATTTGTACAAATATAAAAAAAAAATTTTATAACGAACAAAAATTTTTTTAATGAGAAAAAGTTTTTTTGTGTCAAAATCAATCTTTCTCATTTCATGAGAATATATTGCATAAATAAGCACTCTAAATGTATATTAACCATTCCTAATAGTTATTTACTACATATTTCGTCGATTAACGATAATATTTCACAATGAACCGAATCGTAACCCAATGCGGTTACAACTCGGTTTTCACAATCCGCCAGGGAACAAAAAAATAACCCTACTCCTACCATATCATAATATAATGTATTAATTAAACCCTCCCCTTCAGCTATGTATGTTGGTATTAATTTTCATCAATCCGATTCATCCGATTACCATTTTAATTATTTATGTGATATAAGTAGAAAAATTTTAAATGTTTTAAGAGTTCTTAGAGGCACGTGGTGGGGGGCTGACCATGAACTACTGCTTCAAATATTTGAATCCTTAAGTAGAAGCGGTCATGATTACATGTGTAATTACACGTTTAAAAATTTATAAAGAATTTGAAAAATGTCAAAGTATAAACATGTGGCCAAATCTACACGTGTAATTTTTTTCTAAGGTCGTAACATTGTGTCGCGTACGTTGAATCACCATAACTTAGCCGCTAACCTGTTTAGGAAAAAGTATTGTGGAGGTTGGCCAATGGATGTCTCTGCCATTGGTCAGTACCCATGTGCTCTCTCACAAGTGTAGATGTTGCCTGGCGGGTAGCATATGTGACCTGGACAGTTAAAAGGGACCTCTTGTCCGAAAAAATTAATTTTTTCGGACAAGAGGTCCCTTTTAACTGTCCAGGTCACATATATACACGATCCAACTCTCACTTCCCCATGGTCGTATAAGGCAGATTTCCCACTACGTAGCCTTACTGATGAGTCCAGCAGTGGGGACCGGGACGAAACGACTAGTGCTTCCAAGCTACGCTTATGGGTAACAACACAGTTGTTTCCATAGTATATATCTTCGAGTAATTGTTCCTGTAGTCCGGGTGTAACAGAAGTCTTGGATCACATCCTTTGGGCTTGCCCAAGATTTGATGCAATTTGTCCAGACCTTTTGAAGGCACTCTCGAGAGCCTTAAAGTGTCCTCCACCTTTCTGCAGCATCCTATTCCTCACTCATCCCTCCCCTAGAATAACCAACATTCAAATTTAATTTTAATTATACAATTTCCATACATTTCTCATCATTATTCAAATCTCTCTCTCTTGTTGTCTGGTCGCTTGCGCCTCCACGTTACACCTTGTTCACAGGTTGAAAGTCAACAATATTAAGCTTCACTCATAATACCAGGTCATGGCTGGATAAACAAGCCGCAAAGCTAGTATAAATGCCAATGTCAAACCATACTACTACCACCAACTGACCTCACTAGCTATCTACAGATAATAAGTTTAGGGTCTTCTTAAGCTGCAAGTGATCTCATTAATTGACATAAATGACAGGCAAATTTAAAAATTATTTCACCGAAATAATTAAAGATTCACTGTTTAATTGAAAAAACAGTTATTAAAAGTGAATCAAAATAATAGTTTAAACAGTAACAAAAATTTTAAAAATATATTTAAAATATATTTCATTTATATAGACATATAATAAGTAGTAAAAATAATAGCAATTATCTGTATATGGCTCATTTCATTTAAATTGTCATATTCGTGTCCCTTGCAAATAAAAATTATTTGATATAACCTGACTTGAAATTAATTTGTTTATATAGTAAAAAGCAATAATTTTCAATAATTTTTCTACTTTCAAGGACATAAAAGTGATTTTCATAATATTGGCAGAACAAAAAGCAGGCAAAATGTCATAAGTGTAATGCGTCCCCGGAGACATTTTCAATGTTCAAATGAATGAAATGTTGAAAATATAGTCTTTAAACCAAATTAAAAAAATATTTCGTGAAGTATTAGTTCTATATTTTAGGAAAATCAAGTGTTGGTAATTAAACTTTATTTTATACAATTTCCAGAAAATGAAAATGACGTGTCCCTCACTTTTGTATTTTTACGTTTTGCCGGCAGAATTTCCTACCTTTACCTGCTATTTAAATTACCTTATGAGCAAAAAAATTTCTTTACCATCGCATAAGCAGCAGAACACAAAAACGAAGTGTAGGAAAAAAAAGAAAACTATATAAGTATAAATCTGCTCGTTTGTCATGGAGGCAGAAAAAGCCGAAACACTATCGTAATTGAATTTCTGTCAACAGTGTAACGCCTTGAAAATGGTTAGAAAATATTTTGAATTTTATATCGGTATGGAATTTAATGTATTTTTGGATTCTCTTTCGAATGAGACCAACCCCGTCGATATAAGTATAACCGTTTTCATTTTATAAGCGAAAAACGAGCAAAATGTCAATAGTGTAATGGTCATAAGTGTAATGCAAATTTGTATATATGGCTTCAGTAAACGTAATAAATCACAGAGGCCTACATAAAACTTTTTTCTTTTATCTTGATATCAGAATGGTTTCTGATGTATTTTTGAGCGCTGAACACGATCCCGGATCTTAAAATTGCCTAGCATGTCAGGATTTTGAAAAAAGGGGGGATAAAACCCCCAAGAAACATGTTTTTATGGGTGTTTAATATGATTTTTCTCTTTAACCTGACGTGGTAAAAACATCAAAATAGTTTTAAATTATAGCATAAATCGTGTACTACATGACCCGTACACGCAACCGCCCCCTAATTTTTGTCCATAAAATGGGGTTATAACCCACCCCAAAAAAATT